TTGGTCTATCAGCTAGCCCATCAAGTTTGCTTGTTTACAGCTATTTCTGTGGTGCTCATCACCATAGTCCCTCACGGCCTGTTTCAGAGAGACACTTAAAGCACATGCTTATCTTTACACATGTGCTTAAGCCCATTCCTTTTCTGCAAAGGATTTAAGCATATGTTGAGTCCCATTGACTACATTTCTTAATTGCTCTACTGAATGGGGATGGACTTCACGTTGAGCATGTGCTTATGTGCTTTGCTGATTCTGGCCCTGAGCTTGGTCTGAGTGTTAAGTTTTGCATAAACAGCAATAATGGCTCTACAAATTTCATTACAAGGAATCTTGAGAAAATACAAGACTTTACACCATATTATATATTTCTGTTTCACAAAACATAAATTGGTAATAAAAGTAGTAGAATGGTATTTCTTGTACTGGCTATTGGACATATATTTCTACAATAGAGATGCCACAGGCTAACAAATTTAGAGCTGATGCTGAGTTAGATCTAAATGCCAAAAAATTCTGGCTGTTGTCCCTAAATCTAATATGGAAATATGGTTTGTCCTGGTGAAAATGTAACATGGCCTTTGTTATGCTTGTTTTAGTATCATAGGTAACAATCAGGTAAATAAAACATATTGGCCTGTTTTAACTTGATATTCAGACTCATTGTAAAGTGTTCAAAGTTTAAGGTTCACCAACCTGTGCAGCGGACATGGTTGGAACTGACCAGGGGTGCCAGTTTCAGTTGGCTGTATTTCTGGAGGTTTCATCACGGCATAACCTTTAGTTAAAGAGTATTCTTTAATTCCTGGAGACTCCAGGACAATCCTGGAGGGGTGGCAACCCTAGAATTGACCCACTTTCCTGTATATTTCAGCAGTGTCTCCTTTTTCTGCTTATTGACTATCGATCTTGATGTTCAATGAAATGTGTGAGAGACTGAGCAGATTTATTGGGCATGAAACTACTGTACATTAGGAACTTCAGCAATCACCTGTTTCTGGGGGATAGTTACCCAGAATCTTCGGCACAGTCCAAAAGCACCACACTCCAAATTAGGCTGATTTTCTTCCCAGCTCTATCAGCAGCAAAGAGAATATCTTCATTATTGGAGTATGTGCGGGGATTTTGTAAAACTGATGCAGTTCTCCTAGCACAGCCCCACATACCAAAGCATATTCAATTAAACAGGCACAATGTGTATAGTAATTTACTCCATCCCACTAAAATAAAATGACAGATGAAGTGATAGAGCCATTCCATGAACTACATCAGAGTCTTAATGTGCTACTTTACTTTTTAAAATGAGAAATTATGGCAATTAACATTGTGCCTATGTCATCAGAACAGCGTTTGATGATGAAGAGCTGAGTATATTTGTCAATAGTTTAACTCAGTTTGTAATTGTATTCCAATCGGTGATTCATTGTCATCATGAGGATTATTAGTGCCATTCTTGACACTTTATATGAATTTACTTCCTCTCTGTTTTGATGGTTTTTGGAAGTGATTTAATTTCCACAACAGAATGTCATAGTAGCATTTGCAGTGACATCAAGAAGATCATTTTAATCTCATCCTCTTCTACAGAAGTCTTATCGCAGAATCACACAAGAAAAAGGCCAACATGTGCCATTGCCTTGGAAACGGTATTGAATATAGCAATAACGCTATATTATGAAATGCAGAGAACAAAATGAGCCAGTCCTGCACACTACTGACAAGGTTTTTCATTTGCAGCCTACAGCTACAAACCAAAACTTACTAGCCTGCTGCTCTCTGAAATATAGGTGGCCAACGTATGAGCAGGAGTCTGGTTTCATATTCTTATTTGCATACACAACACAATTAATTGGAACAGGCTCGAGGGGGTGGAGTGTCAGACTGGGCTTCACAGGAGAGAGGTGTGTGTGAGAGAGAGAATGCACAAAATGTAAAAGGAACATCACAGAATGAGTGGAGGACGGTGCTGATATGCTTCAAGATAAGAAGGAAGCTAGAAAGCCCAACAATCAGCAAGGGGATGGGTGGGAACACACTGGAATGGGAAGAGGAGGAAAGAGAAAAGAGAATACAAAAGAAATGTCACCTTTTAGCATCATCTGCTGTCAGAACAACTGAGTTTAAAGCCACAATTTTAATTTGATTTGTTCCACGTTGGTATCCGACCTTTGTTCAGATTCCATCTGGCTACAGCTGAGAACTGTGTTTACAGTAAACAGTTTTTAAATGTGACTCATACAACAGTGCAGCGAGTGCCATGGGGGGTGGAATGACAGATGTCCTTCCCACAGATTACGTCCTTAAATCGATTTAACAAAGGGATTCAAACCAACTAATGAGGAGTTGATCAAAGTGGTGGTGACTTGAATATAGGGTGACCAGATGTCCTGATTTTATAGGGACAGTCCCAATATTTGGGGCTTTTTCTTATATAGGCACCTATTACCCCCCACCTCCATCCTGATTTTTCACACTTGCTATTTGGTCACCCTACCTGAATAGCTGGTGTTTAGTAGTAGAGGAGGAATGGTATATTCTGCAATGGCTGCTCAAACAGCTAAATATGACTGAGTGACCTCAGAATGTGTTCAAGTCACTTGCTCTAGCTCAGTGGTCCCCAAACTTTTTCGTCTGGCGGGTGCCAGATGACGAGCCATGGAGGACCGTGGCGGTGGACGAAATGCTGCCGACAAGTGGCAATGTCAATAGGCATCGGCGCCGAAATGGTGCCGACAAGCAGCGTCATCCAGAGGCGTCGCCGCCAAAAATCGGCAGTATTTCGGCAGTGCCTCTGGATGACACTGCTTCTCAGCGGCATTTCGGTGGATGTTCGTCCGCTGGCCAGTACACGGGCGCACTTAGATGCCCCGGCGGGCGCCATGGCACCCCTGGGCACTGCATTGGGGAGCCCTGCTCTAGCTGTTGTGATTTAGAAAGAGTTTTGAACATGGTCTCTTTCTACAAAGATTGGATATTGCATAACATCCATCTTCATGTGTGATGACTATACCCCAAAGTGAAGGACCTTCTATACCCATATAAGCAGCTGCTCTAATGAGTGCTTTCACCCTACATGGAGAAGGCCAGGTAACTGTCACTGCACACCCCTAGTGGTTCTATCTATAGGGAATAGCTTTAAATTCCAGTCAAGGCTCCAAAGGCTCTAAGGCTATGTTTACACTACCACTTATGTAGGTATAACTTATGACCTGAAGGGGTGTGAAAAAACATATCCCTGAGCGACATAATTTGCACTGTCCACACCAGCACTTATGTCGGCAGGAGAGCTGCTCCTGCCGACACAGCTACCGCCTCTCGCTGGAGTAATTGTGTCGACTGGAGATCTCTCTCCCATCAGCACAGCTTGGCTACATGAGAGATCTTACAGAGGCACAGCTGCATCAGAACAGATTTGCCACTAAGCACTCTAGTGTAGACATGGCCTATCAGTGGTTCTCAAATGCAGCCACTGTGACTGCATGTGGCCACCAGGGGCTTTTCTTGTGCCCACATTCTCCTGGGCTGTGATGGGGAGGGGGTGGGCCTCTCCCCCTTCCTGTTGCTCCTGGATGCACCGCTTTGGTGTTGGTTGCTGGGGCTCCCAGGAGGGGTTGGGCCCTGCCCACCTCTGGAGACACCTGGGGCACAACGCTGGAGGAGCTGACAGCTGGTGAGTTCCCCACCTTCTCAGAGGCAGTGGGGCTCAGGCTTTGGGCTTCAGCCTTGTGGTGGCCAGGTAGTAGGCTCTGGCTGTGGGACTTTGGGTCCCAGCCCTAGGCTTTGGCTGAACAGCGGCAGGCCCAGCTACACGGCTTCGGGCTCCGTCCCTCAGATGTCGGGCTTCAGGCTCCAGCCCCCAGCAGTCTCACCTGGCTGCCGACCCCCATTTCCCCGGCCCCTGCTGCCTCTCCCAACCTCCCATCCAGGGCTTAATTTGTCCCTAGGCTTGCCAGGGCTGAGTAAGTCTGCTATGAAAAGTGATACACGTATGTTTGTTAATATCACTTTTCACAACAGACTTAGTAGCTAGCAATAAATACATTACAATGATTTGGACATGTATCACTTTTCATAGCAGACTTACTTGTTTTTATTTGTTTTTCCTAAAGTTAATTAAATATTTTAGGGAAAAGTGTGAGAGCAGCCACCAGCAAGAGTTGGTGGCTGCACTCTGAGGCCAATAAATAATTTGTCCTGAGAACCCTTGGATTAAGGCCCATCAGGGTCTGCACCATGGGACCCATGGGCATGAATTACACTGAGCAGTGACCTCAACATGAAATGCCTCCTCCTCACCGCCCCCCGCAAAAGATAAAAACTACTACACAAATTAAATGAGAACTGGACAGGAAGAAAAAAGGGGAAGAGAATAATGTGGTCCAGTAATTCACAATTTTCGGTGTACAACCATAAATCTACATTCTTAATGGTGTGACATGAAGGTCACAGGTAGCTAGTCTAGGGAACTATCATAGGATTTGAAAGAATTTGTGAGGGTGGAGCTAGATGTGAAGGAAAAAAAAGTTTTAGTAGCCAAATAGCTTGGAAATGTCTAGTATGATAGTCTTTTCTAAACATTTTGAATTCTGCATATGAAATAGAATGGCGTGTACTACTTAATTAGTATGCATAACACAAATCATCATCCACTGAAGGAGTTCATGTTTCTGCAAAGTTCAGTGACGCAGAATCTAATAGCCCAAATTCATCCTTAGTTTGACCCTAGTGAAGTCAAGAGTATAAGCCCACAGAAGAAGCTGGTCCTAGGTACAGCCTTGAAACTGGACATCTGTAAACATCTTGGAATGCTAGAGAAATTTCCACATGCGGTTAAGCAACTTCTCTTGATTCCTCGTGCCCTATTAAAAATAATAGCTCTTTTCTTTTTGATCCAATCCTTTCAGAGATGTTATTGCCTTCTCTTTGACTGTTTTTTTTTAAACTGAAAAATAGGGGGGCAGACACGTGGTACTGGGAGAACAAGTTCGATACAATATGAATAATTTTAGTGCAAAATTTTATTTCAGTTAAAACAGAAACTGTAATGGTATGATTATCATTTATCATATGAAAACTACAAACTTTTCATGTTAAAAAGAAAGCAATGCTAGATGGATTTTGGAATAATACCTGGAAAAGAGAAAAAACTGCATTGACTTAGAAAAATATTGAATAATTCTTTTAATCATTAAAAATAAATTCTTTCCTAAACAATGGGCAGAGTTAACCTTTCAGGCCATTACTTTTTTTTCCCTGCACTTTTTCCTTGCTTTTTTTTCTGTGCATCTGGACTTTTCTTCTCTTGCTCTGCTCGAATGGCCGCTTCTTCTGCGGCTAGTGCTTCTTGTTTTTTGAGTTCAGCCTCTAGTAGCTTACTTCTGTATGCTTCCCGAGCACTGAGAACCCTGCCTCGTGCTTCATCTAAGGATACCTATCCAAAAACAAATACCCCCCACAAACAAATGAGCATTCACATATATAATAAGGTCGTGTACCCTGCCATTTAGGTTTCTTGCTCCTGTTCTGACCTTAACTATATCGAGGACTTCTAGTTTCTCCCTTACGTGTTAATGCATATGCATTGTCTATAGTCCTATCCTGCCCTGTGTCAGAGTTGCTTAGTGATTATAAACAGGTGATCTTTTACATCATGAAGAAGAGGAAGTTGTTTACAAAAAGTTGCTTTTTAAAAGCATTTCTAGTACCATAAGCAATTAGTGTTGATAGGGCACTGGACTGGTCAGGCCCCTGGTTCTAGTCTCAATTCTGCCACTCACTTGTTGTGTGAGCTTAGAAAAGTCACTTAGGGTAAAGTTTTCCAAAAGTGATGTAGTCCCATTTTCAGAAGTGACGGTTGGGCCTAAGTATCATTGTGAGTCAAGTTCCTAAGAGCTTTTGTCACTTTTGAAAATGAGATGTAGGCACCTTTGAAATTTTTTTTGCCAAGTCCCATTTACAAATGTGACTGAGCCGTCTAAGCCAACGAAGTGGGTATTCACCCACGAAAGATCATGCTCCAATACATCTGTTAAACTATAAGGTGCCACAGGACTCTTTGCTGCTTTTACAGATCCAGACTAACATGGCTACCCCTCTGATACTAAGCCATCTAAGTCCCTCTGAGTTTCAATGAGACTTAGGCCCCAAACTCACTTTTGAAAATTTTTCCCTTAACCTCTCCATGCTTCAGATTCCCCATCTGTAAAGCAGCAATAATGATACTTAGCTATCCTTGTAAAGTGCTCTGAGATCTATGGATGAAAACACTTCAAGTGCTGATTAGTGTGGCCAAGATGTTCCGATGTGACTAAAGATTTTGAGTGCTGAACAACAAACCTCTAAAAATCAAGCCCCTTTAAAATGTTCCAAGTTAGGCACCTAAAAATTAAGGCACCTAAAAACACCAGTAAATTCTGAAAATCATTGTGTGTGCTTTATTAAGGACCCAGTCCTGCAAGCTCCCTTCACCCATTGCTGGCATGTAATTGGTCAGTTTATGTTATGTACTGTGCATCATTCAGTATGGCATATGGGAGCTTTTATGAAGGAGAAAGTTAAAATGACTGCAATGAATCAATCCATCTTATCGGAAGGATACTTTTACTGGTTCTTATCCAGCTCTAAAAGATCAGGACTGGGGTCATTTGATTCATGGTGATTAATGCATCACTGTGGCTTGCTTGTCAAAAATCATATTGCTCTTATTGACTTTTAAAAGCTTAAGTCAATTTTGTTAAGGTATCTTTACCCACTTCATCTATTAAATAGATCCCAACCTTGACACACTGCACTAATGTTGTACCATCTGCTGAGTGTATTATTTGTAGCTGTGTTTCATCAAGACTTAAGAACTCTACTAGTTTGCTAGCTGGCCTTATGCAGATTTCAGGAAGACTGCAACATACCAATATTATATTCTTCAGCATCTCACTTGGAAACATCAGCAGTGATTTTTTTTTTGTCAATCCAGTTTTCTATTTTCTACAAAGTTTCCTTTCCTTACTGAAAAAAGCTACATGGCTCTGCATCAAACAGGCCAAACTGGAAATGCCGGATCTAGTACGTACACACAGGTATGTACCAAACACTTCGCTTACTCTCACTTTGAACCATCATGTTACGTTGGTATTTACAAAGCTGTGCCCCTTGAATGTACTACCTCAAGAAATGTATTCTAGAGCATCACCTCTACAATGTTGTGTAACACTAGAATTTTTCTGGGAAACTTATGCTTTAACCATGGTTCAAGTGAAATTTCAGGCTCATTTACACTAATGAAGTGTACTTATTATAGAAGTCCAAATACGTTTGTGTTCATAGGTGGTTAAAATCACAGAAAACCTATCTATGGACTTACTTGTAGATGCTCATACATTTCAAGTGTATTTTGCTTCAATAATGTGCGAGCATTTTGGTCTTTTTCTCTTTGTTCCAGAACCAGCTGTCGAAGCTCCCTAAAACGATTTATTTCTTCGGCTTTACACATCTCCTGCTGTTGAATGATAGACTCATTTCTTAGCACAGGCTCAGGCATTGTTTTTCTGTAGGAAATACAAACATTATTTGTCTCACTTCAAAGGCAGATTAGAACAGTATTTACATGACTGATGGCCAGTATACAATATATCTAATTGTACAATTCTATGTTACTATCATGATTCTAGGTATGGTTAAGGAGCCAATTTTATTCTCACCCACTATTTACTGATGATCATAACTGGAAAAATGATTCTTTTGGCCAATATTTCTTATGCTTGATCCTTTAAAATTTTGATAAAATTGTGCTCATCCCTATTTTAGTTATCTGGATGGGAATTCAGGGGTTTCTCAGAAAATGGGGACATTTTCAGATCTTTTTCATATTGCAATAACTCAAAATGATTTTAAATCACATGTGCTCAGTGAGTACCTGTGAGTGTTTTGATAATGTTGATAAAATTGATTGAGAAATAAAGAAGTTATAAACTATTGAAGACATAACATAAAATCCTAGAAAGAGTCAAGCATGTGAGAAGATATTGGGTCAAATTTTCTGCTGTCTTAATTTCATTCTCTTCAGTATTGTACTAGTTTCCTTCCCAATTAAAGCCCTGATTCAGGAAATTGTCCTTATGCCGGACAGCACTTAAATATGTGCTTAACTTTAAGCATGTATGTGACGTTGCACTCCATATGATTTTATGAAAATATGCTAATGAGTGTGAATATAATGTAACTGGAATATGTTTCATGCAAAAGGTCTCATGTAAGGTATCATTACAAAGCTTATAATCTACTGAGTGTGTTCATCCTATTTGTATGAATGTATCATTCTTGTATCTGAAACTAGGAATATAAAATATAACTCTGAGGTCCTAGTGTAGTTAGGCAAAGTGTGGGCCATTAATGATGGTTTAGAATTTTGATGGCTCCCATCAACTAGGACAATTAACTGTAGATGGCTCTATTTACTTGCAAGCCTTCTTGTGAGTCAGACCAGGAAGAATGAAGGCTTGGGGTATCACAGGACATGTTACCATGTCACCTGGCACTGGAATCCATCTTAAACCTGGTGCCCAGAGAGAGAAAAGATTCCCACCTTGGGCCAAAGCTAAAAAGGTGGTAGAAGAGAACAAAGGAGGTTCCAGCCATGAGAAATCTCCTAGTTACCACCTGAGCTGGAGCTAACAAGGATTGTACCAGGGGAAAGGATTGGGCCCAGACTAGGAAGGAGTCTAGTCTGTGAAAGCAGCTTATTGGAACATCTCTGAGGGTGAGATTTCATCTGTAATCAGTTTCTTAACTGTATTAGGTTAGGCTTGCGTGTTTTGCTTTATTTTACCTGGTGACTTGCTTTGTTCTGTCTGTTATTACTTGAAACCACTTAAATCCTACTTTTTATACTTAATAAAAGCACTTTTTGCTTATTAATTAACCCAGAATAAGTAATTAATACCTGGGGGAGTAAACAGCTGTGTATATCTCTCTATCAGTGTTATAGAGGGTGGACAATTTATGAGTTTACCCTGTATAAGCTTTAACAGAGTAAAATGGATTTATTTGGAGGTTGAATCTCACTGGGAACTGGGTATCTTGGTATTAGAGACAGGAGCACTTCTTAAGGTGTTTTCAGTTAAGTCTGCAGCTTTTGGCGGACATGGTTCGGATGTGGGTTTGTGTTTGCAGCAGACTAGCATGTTTGGCTAAACGAGACAGGGTACTGGAGTCCCAACCTGGAAGGGAAAATGGGCTCAGAGATAGTCTCAGCACATCAGGTGACAGTCCCAAGGGGGTCTCTGTGACCCAACCTGTCACAATGTGCTTAAGTTCCATTGAAGTCAATGATGTGCTTAAGTGCTGGCCTGAATAGGAATGGACTTAAAACATATGCTTCAGTGAACTGGGGCCTAAGTATGTCTATATCTAGATAGCTGCACATTAGTACACACAGTATTTATTCCAGTGATTAGACATATTTATTTAAATGTATCATTACACATACATGTGCATTAAATATAGTACTTGAATCTTGAATCACACACTGACATACTGGAAGTCCACTAACTATGATTATTTTAATGTATGATCACTGAAACAAACACACATTAAAATAAATTTGCCAGCATGTGCATCGTCTGGATTCCACATATTTAATTCTCATGTCATACATTGTGTTACTGTTCAATTCCTTTTTTATTAATTTTTATACAAAGAAAATTAATTGCACTTAGATATAGTGAGGCATAGATTTTAAACACACAAAAGTCAGGTATCGAGCCAAATTCTGATATCACTTATACCTCTATAAATGTGAAAAAACTACTGACTTCAGCTGAATTACTTCAGTTTTATAGCATGAAACTGAGCTCAGAATGCAATCATGGTTTCTACAACTACTGTGACAGGCATATGACAATCATGGGTTGGGCTAATAAAAGCTGAGGACTAAAGGCTAATGCCATATACAGTAAGTCAAAGTACTGTAATCTCTACTGTATGCACCCAGGAATGAATTACAGTTGTAGAAACAATATAATACAGTCTATAACTCTTCTATTTGTAAATTCTTACTGTAAATACTGCATTAACATATTTTTAGCATTTAATTACATTTGCCACAATTTACCTAATGTAGGGGGTTAGGTCTAGAGGTTCCCATTCCTTTTGCTGAGCTTGTGTGCTTGCGTCAGTGGCTGCTGGTGATGCTATTATTTCAAGCACAGGGGAAACTGCATCTGCAATAAAATAGATTAAACTGGTTACTTTGTTTGGTCATGAAAATCTTCCTCTCCTTAATAAAGTTTATCCTCTTCTGGCTCAGCAGCACACATTATTACAGGCTGAGCAGGAGAACAACTAACATTTAGCTACTTCTATTTCTTGTGTTATTATAGAATCCCAGAAGATGGAAAGTACTGTACATCTGCCAAGGTACATTTTTAATATACTTCACAATATCTATTTTATGTATAAACTTAGTTAAACCCATATTGCTCACAAACAACTATGGCCAATTTCAGCCATTTCCAAGTTATTCATCTCCCCAAAGGATCTGAGAGCAAAGTATCAGCCCCAAAGGCAAAATAGTGAGATAGTTATGAGTATGTGAAATCAAGGGCTTATTATAGAAACAATTTTTCAACCTTTACTATGTCTGGTGTTGGGAGAATGCCATGATACTGTAAGTGCTGATGGACCCAAAGCAAAACCCCAGGTCCAAAATCCTCTGAGCTTTGGGGGAAAGGAGAGTTGAATCCAAAATGAGATTTCAGTTTTTGACCCCATCTTCATAACGGACCAGATTAAAATCTTAGACTCAAATGCCCCCAGACTGTGGTTTGTTTGAAATTTTGATCCAAATGTTACAGCTCTGTTTCATCTCTAAATTATGTAGCATTTGAAATTTTGTATGAAATTAGTAGTCCTACCTCTTGGGCCAACACGGCCCAGGAAACCCACTTCCAACATGTCCATCTGGAGGATAAACAGTTTTGAAAAATTAAGGTTGAAGAGAACTGGCATCTGGGTTAGCAAGTTCTTCAAAGTTCTGAAGGCCTTGTCACATTCTTCTGTCCCTTGCACCTTTCTGGGGCGGGTGCTTTTTACCAGGTCAGTAAGGGCGGCAGCTATTGTGGTGAAGCCGCACAGCCTATAATAGCCAGCAAGGCCTAGGAAATATTGCACCTGCTTCTAGGTTGATAGGGTCAGGCAATAGGTCAATGCTTGGACCTTATTTACCAGGGGGCGTAGCCAGTCCTGTCCCATAGTGTACCCAAGGTAAGTTACTTCTCTCTGTCCCAGGTGGTATTTGGCAGGATTTGCAGTAAGCCCCTGATTCTTGAGGGCCTGCATAATCGCAGTGACGTGCTGTAGGTGGTCTTCCTAGCTGCAGCTATAGATGGCTATGTCATCAATATAGGCAGCTGCGTACTGGTAGTGGGGATGCAGCACTTGGTCTATCAGTCGCTGGAAGGTGGTGGCTGCTCCATGCAGGCCAAAGGGCTTGGCCACGAACTGACAGAGGCCGAAGGGAGTAGGGAAGGCTGTCTTTTCCCAGGATGCCTTTGTCCTGGGAATTTGCCAGTATCCCTTGGTGAAATCAGGCATGGAGATGTACTTGGGGTTCCCAGTCTCTCTAGTAGCTCATCCACCTGAGGCATCGGATACTTGTTGAATCTTGATATAGCACTGATCTTTCTAAAGTCTATGCAGAATTTTGTTGAGCCATTGGGTTTTGGCACTAGCACAATAGGACTCCTCCACTCACTGTGGGATTCCTCAATGATCCCCATGTTCAGCATAGCCTGGGGTGCTTCCCACATCTTCAGCAGGGGTTGATGATTCTTTGTCTGGGCATCGTTGCAATGTGATGTTGGGTTAAGGGAGTCCTCCCTGAGAGGGCCAAGAACACCATGGGGAAGGCCTGAGTCAGTTGTAGTATTTGGGCTTATTGCCTCGAGTTGAGCTCTGACCCCACTGGCACAGGGATTTGGTCCGGGGATGTCATGGCTTGAGGCCCCACTTCTGATTCTGGGGTATACAGGGCTATCAGAAGGCTCTCCTGATCCTTCTAGGCCATCAGGAGGTTGACGTGATACATTTGTGTGTTCTTCCATCTCACAGGCTGATTGATGTTATAGTCCCCTGGCCCTACCTTTCTTACTACTTCAGACGGCCAATAGTCAGTGGCCAATAGTTTTGATTCAGATGTCAGGAGTAACATCACCATCCTGTCTCCTGGTCTGAATGTTCACAATTGTGCCCCCTTGTTGTGGGTACGTTTCTGGGTTTGTTGGGCCTTCAACAGGTTTCCCTTGGCAAATCCTTCAACAGGTTTTCCTTGGCAAGTGTTTTCAGGCATACTCGTAGTTGGAGCACATACTGCACTGAGCCCATGACCAGAGACTCCTGTTCTTCCCATGATCTCCAAAGGAGGGCCAAAATTCCTCTGGGTTGTCTCCCATACAGAAGCTCAAAGGGCAAGAACTCCATGGAGGCTTGGGGGATCTCCTGTACAGCAAATAGCAATGATGGTAGCAGTTGGTCCCAGTGCCAAGGGTCTGCGTCAATTAATTTGCTCAACATGGCTTTCAGTGTCTCCCTGAATGGCTCCACCAGCCCATCCATCGGCGGATGGCAGACAGAAAGCTTGAGGTCTTTGATCTTCAGCAGTTTGCACAATTCCTGCGTCAGTTCAGATGAGAAGTTGGATCCCTTGTCTGTCAATGTTTGTCTTCGTATTCTGACCCGCATAAAGATCTTCATGAGTTCATTCGCTATGGTGGGTGCATTAGTTGTGTGTAGCGGGTTGGCTTCCGGGTACTGCATGGCACAGTCTACTATTGCTAATATATAATGGTACCTCGGTGCACTCTTCTGAGCCCACTAAATCCACTCCTACCCATTTGAAGGGTACACCCACCATGGGGAGCAGATTAGGGAGGGTTTTGGCATCCCTTTGGGCCCTGCCAGCTGGCATTTGGGGCACACGGCACAGAAGTTGTACACCTCTTTGTGGATGCCTGGCCAGAAGACTCTAAGGGCCACCCTCTCCAGTGTCTTTGCTCTCCCTAAGTGTGGTAACCTCCAGCAGAACTTCTTGGGTACCAGCAGCTGTCACCATTTTGGGGGGTTTGGAGGTTCTACATCACTCAGTAAAGCTGCTTATTCCAGAGTTCAAAGTGGGGCCCACTGGGTTTTGCCATCCTCCCCATCAGAGATGGCCACCTGCTCCCAGGTGTGGCTCAGCAGGGCCGGCTTTAGGCCGATTCCCTGGATTCCCCTGAATTGGGCCCCGCGCCTAAGAGGGTCCCGCACCCAGTGGTGAGCTGGAGCCAGTTCCCAAGCTCTGGCAGCTGTCTGCCCCGTCCCCGTCCCCGTCCCCAACTCACCTCCCCCTCCTCCCTTGAACGCTCCACGCCTCTTCTCCTCCCCTCCCCTGCTTCCCGCAAATCAGATGTTTGTGCAGGAAGCCTGGAAACAAGCAGCGGCAGGTAAGCTGGGGCGGGGGGTGGGTGGGCGCGAGGAGGGCTCCAAGGAGGCGCACCGTGGCCCAGTCTGGCTCCAGCCTGGCCCCAACCTGGCCCCGGCCCCGCGGCTCCCTCCAGCCCCAGCCGAGCGCCCCAGGCCCGGCCCCGGCTGAGCAGCTCCGGCCCCGCGGCGCGGCTCCAGCCCGGCCCTGACTCTGGCCGGGCGGCGCGGCTCCAGCTCCAAGTGGCACGGCTCTGGCCCCGGCCAGGCGGCACAGCCCCAGGCCTGGGCCCGGCTCCGGCCTGGGCCCCAGTCCCGGCGCAGCTCTGGTGGGGGGTAAGCGGCATGGTACGAGACCGGGGCGGGTGGGGGGTTTGGATAAGGCAGGGGCAGGGAGTCCTGGGGACAGGAAGCGGGTGTGGGGGGGTTGGATCGGGCGGAGGTTCTAGGGGGGAGGTCAAGAGATGGGGAAGGGGGGGGTTGGGTAGGCGTGGGAGTTTCGGGGGGTCTGTTGGGGTGGTGGTGGATGGGGTCGGGACAGTCAGGGGACAGGGAGCAGGGCAAGTTGGGTAGGGGGTGGGGTCCTGGGGGGCAGTTAGGGTGGGGAGACTTGGGAAGGAGTGGTCAGGGGACAAGAAGGGGGGGGTTGATGGGTTGCAGTTTCTGAGGGGGGCAGGACATGCGTGGGGGTCGGATGGGGAGGGGGGATGTACTCACTGGGTGGTTCCCTACCGGGTCTTCAGCGGTGGGTCCTTCACTGCCACTGACCCGGAGCGCCGCTGGGTGTGTCATCCCTGCCGGGGCCCCGTCGAATCGGGCCCCGCACTTCCTAAAGCTGGCCCTGGGCTCAGTGTCTGGTCCTCCTGTTGTTCCCAAACAAATTCCTCATCTTCTGGTAGCCAATCATGGCTTACTTCTTCAGGTGTCCCCAGAGCTAGCGGGTTGCTGAGTTGGTGTCCCTGGCTGTCCAGAGGAGCCCTCCTCCAGGGTCTTCTGCCATGTCTTGACCCATAAGCCTGCTCGTTTCCAGCTCTGGGTTGCTTTCTGTGGGGGATTTCTGTTACACTGCTTGAGGAGCTCCCCAATCCACTTCCAGTCCTGCGCTAAGATGACCAAATAGGTCAGGGTGGCTGTTGGCTGACTCTGCAAGTCTTCATGTGGCCTCCTACCCTCAGCTGCACGTTTGTCACAGGGTAGAGTCACACGTCCCCATGGATGCACTCGGAGCATCTGACATATTGGAGGACTCTATCATGGTTGCCCATATAATAGTTACACCCGGAGACTACTAGGCCTATCACTTCAGCTCCTTTGACCCATACCTGCAGCAGCATCTTGGCTGGGCCTCACCTACAATATCTAGTGCCTGCCATCCATGTCAAGCCATAGCTGCAATCCATGAAGGAACACTCCTAAAATGCCCTTCCTGTGCACACTTGAAGCAGCTCCCCTTCAGGGTCAGAGGCAGCTGGCTCCCTTCTGGGACTGTAGGGTCTCCAAGTGGGGCATACCCCTTTCCTTGGCAATAGTGGTCTCCTCTCTGCTCCACCATGGTCATGTCCTCTGGGTGGGAGCAATCCAAAGGGGGTCAGCTGGGTCAGCCATCCTCAGCCTCCTCTCCTAGCATGGCCCTCGCTAGGGTTCGGTGTCCTGGTTCTGGGAGCCCCTGTCCTCGGTGTCGGTGAGACTGGACTATTGGCCACCACATAGTTATCCATCGGGGTCATGGCTTCCACCAGGGTGATGTTAATCACACCACTGTATAAACACTACACTGTGGTATTTGCTGTAGTCCTTTTACTCTGACTACAAAATGCTGTGGTAAATTTGACTACAAGTACTTGGGTAAATTTCAAGATGTAATGGTGCTCACTATAGTTTGTTTCTATGAAAGTATCTGGTTCCTTTACTTAATTCAGCAACCAACAAGAGGCTTTTAAAGATATTATTGGAATGTTCTCCCCAGCAACAAGAAAGATAGTGCTTGAGCATTAAAAGATTTTACTCCGAGGCTGGAAGCATTTGTGTCAGTATTTGCAGATATCTGTAGCTGTTTCAAGTTAATTTTTAAAAAGAGTTTTGAAATGCTTCATATGAAAAGCTATATGCGCATTCATTGCTGTTAAAAAAATTGCTCGCACCTGCTACACGATCCTCCTAAATTGTGTATATGGGTATAATGACAAACTCAATTAATAAATAGCAAGAAATTAAATTAAGTTGAAGGCCCAAATCACTACTGAAATCTAATCACTAAATTGGCATCTCTAAAGCTAATCACAAAGTTAGCATATCTAAACTCCCTATTTTCCATTCTGATTACTTGACTCTAAGTTCCTGTTAAGGGGGGGAGGGAAATAGAATTCACAGAACTGCTGATATAGTACTTTGAATAAAACTCAAGATTTTAAACAGGATATTTAAAAATCTATACATGTTCAATGCTTCATCTCTTTACAGCTCCAACTTTCCCTCAGGTTGACATCAGTTGTGTTTTTTATTACACAATTTGTGCATAACACTATGTCATTCTGTGACAATGGGATTAAATGAATCAAGATTGTTTTGGTTTGATTAGAGTTTAATTTACTCAGAAAGCTTCACTGTTCTTGCTCTCCTGTGTACATCAGGCAGGGAGGAGAACATTTTCATTTATTGCTGATGTCTTTTTCAGCCATTGAATTTTTAATCTTAAATACAAACAGGGCTAGATTGGCTTAATGTTGGACCCCTTGTGGCCCTTTCCTGAGTGCGAAGGAGAAGCCACCTACACAAGAGTCCAGTCTGGGTTAGCGTTGGGTGGGGACCATCACTTCTCTTTGGTCAAACTGGGACTTCCCCCTCCCTGGATCACTAGTCTCTGTTTTAAAAAGGATTGAGGTCTGTCCTGGAGGCCTCAGCTACTACCCACTAGAGCAACGTGGGGAGGCCTTTTTCATCACAGCAGAGAGCCATCCATTCCACAGGATGGAAGAAAGGAGGTTCTCTTCTCCTCCTAGCCCACGGTCCTCTGCTGGGGTAGTGTTGGGGAGGACCCTGGATAGCACTGGGTTTCAAGTCAACAACCCATTAAGATGTTCCTGTCTGTCAGAGAGTTCGTGTCCCACTTCATATGTCTCAGAGAGCTATTACGCATGCTGTCTGCAGAGTTAGGCAAGTGATACTACATCAGTTACACTTGATTCACATTTCAAGTTTTTCTTTGCAAGCATGAGGGCTAGAAACATAACTTTTTTAAAAATTAAAGCTGAATTCCTGATGGCATACCATGACTCCAGGAGCTGCGCCCCTAGGCCCAGGTCCACAGTGCTTCTGCCTTAATCTAGCCTTGTGTACAAGAACTATACCATCTTCTTTTTCTTATCCCACACAAATGTCATGGTAGATGGACTTTACCAGGACAGCCACTCCCCCCAGAATATCAGCTGGCTGTGGCCTACTGTACCTTATTTGTGGTAGCTGGCCTATGGTTCTGTGTATGCAGCATATGGGTAGTGAAGGAGCCTTCTACATGGTGGTCTGGCAAGAGTGCTAAAGGAAGAATTGTAAGTGCCTTTGGAGCTATTCATCAGACAACTATTCTCCAGAACAAAACAACAATTACAAAGATACTGCACACAAAAATGTTCATAGGCTCCTCTTTCCAATTGCCACTCTTTAAGGGACCGCTCCAAAGCCCATCAAAATCAGTGGAAAGTCTCCCATTTACTTCAAGAGTCTTTGGATCAGAACCCACATGCTCAATTTAGTTCAAATTCTGGCATTCAGTACGTGGTTGGTGACCGTGTTAATCAAATGATCATTTTGCACTCATGTTCTGAGCACTCCAGACCCAAAACAGTTGAACTATATTATATGAATGAAATATAGTTGTGGTTTTAAAAATAATAAATGTGTGTCAAGTAAGATGGGTAATCAGCAGGTTCAGGATAAATGAAACACATGATCAACATTTCTGATTTACTGAATGAGTATGATACAATTTTACTCAGAAAGTTAATCTGCTGGAAATGCTTCCCAGAATTTTTTCAATACTGTGTATTCCTTAACACAGTGCTTTTCAAATGTTTTAGGCTGCATACCCATTTCCAAATAATGTAGTCTACTGCATACGCCCATCTAAAATAGGGTCATAATATACCTTTGAAAACAGAAAAATAAAAAGGTCTGTAAGGGATAAGTTCACCATTACAGGATTTTTCTCACATACCCCCTGATGAGAGCTCATATAACCCTCAGTTTAAAAACCACTGCAAAATTTAAAATCACCTCTTTTGTACAAACCTAAACGGCCAGCAGTAAGACAGCAACATTTTGTATATATTGTAGGAGAAGTCTAGACATCAGGTGTCTCTCTCTCCAGATAAGGGGAACTCATGCTAAAAGCAGCTGCAGGATAACTATTAATTATGTGGACTCTATTCTACAACCCAGTATACAAGGAAATAAAAATTCCAGATTTAACTCCATTTAAAATGTAAGTAGTAGCTATTGCAGTGTACATATAAAACACAAGACATGGTGGGCTAGGTGACTATCTCTTGTGCTTTATGTTCTGAAATGTACAGTTGTGAATTATTTTTCTATTTGGCAATGGATTAATGTTAACAGTTTAATGAGTGGGTGTGGGCATATTCTTGATTCTTGCACATATGAGTCACACTTTTGAATTCCACCCACAGTCGCAGAGACCAAAGTTGTTACAATCAGATTGGTATTTGCAGGGCCGGCTCCAGCATTTCTGCCGCCCCAAGCAAAAAAAAAAAAAAAGCTGCGATCGGTGGCGGCAGTTCAGCGGCAGGTCCTTCGCTCCTAGAGGGAGTGAGGGACCTGCCGCCCCCGAACTTGCCGCAGGTGCCGCCCCTCTCCCTTGGCTGCCCCAAGCATCTGCTTGTTAAGCTGGTGCCTGGAGCCAGGCCTGGGTATTTGATACTGTGTACTCTCTAGTGGACTGATCTCAGTACTATTCTTAGCAGAAAGCTGCTGCAACAAAATAACCATCAGGACAATTTTACCTTTGTTGG